CTTTTCTATCCAAGGACTTAGAGAGCATTTGCTCTCCATGAAATGGCAGTGAACCAAGTGGCCCACTATTCTTATCCTATATTGTATTTCCAAGGAACTGCCAGATTGAGGGGTCCTTCCAATTTGCTATTGGGATCCCCCCTTGGAGACCTCTTGGAGGAGAGGGAATACTTCAGGATGCTAAATCAACATCTTCATGGTGCTGCTTTGTGGTGGAGAGAAAAACCTGTCTCGGAGCCAAGGCTGAGTGTGGAAATGGTCATGTTTTCTAGCATCACTTTTTATGACCAGTTAGTTGGAACATGTGAGCTTCCCATCCCTACTCCCATGGGCTCTGTGTAGCAAAGTCCGTTCTCAGTGAGGAATTCTTCTACCAGGGAGCACAACATTAGTTTCATTAGTCTTCAAACTGCTATTCAGACCATTAGCCCCATGACAAGATACCACTAGGAAGAATAGGGTGTACCATTCTGACAATAGCTGTTAGGAAGAATATCTCTGTCACCCAGGTAGACCAACAGGGCATTTCTGGGTGTTCTCCTGTTTTGACAGTAAATGAATAGGTGCCACAAGTGTACTGGGCTGATAAGGATATGGTGATAAGCTCAGACCGCTCAGAGATGGATGTCAAAGTCACTTCACCAGGTTGGCTACCTAGACTAGCCATGGTGTCATCTGACAGTGAGGGGAATCTTGAGTGGGTAGTTGCAGGTAGTAGTTGATAGAGAAAAATGATAAGTATTAGTTGCAATCCTGAGGAACAGCTCACAAGTAGAGTCTGTAGTTCATTCAATTAGCCTTCTTTTAGTAGCCTTCTCAGAAAAGAGACCAATCAGAATCCCAAATTAGGTATATGAAACAAGAGAATCTGAGTGATGGACTCCAACAGTTTGCTACCATGGTCATTCCTGAGAACTAAGATTCTCACTTCTTAGCTGTCAGCAGTAATAGCAGAAGACAAGAATGGCTGTCGACTGTTGAGTTGCCTTACCTGGGCTACATCTATCTAATGTCAGATGAAGGTACAGGTGCAAAATTCTAGCACTTCCTTCAACTTGGGATACAGTCTGGAGGTCCATCCCAGCTCCATCACATCTACATTGCTATTTGGCATTTCCTTTGGTTCAATTTCACTGCCTTCTTTCTCCTGCAGGTGTTTTTTATTGAAGGTGTGCTTAACTGAATAAACTGGCATGTAGATTGCAGCTCAGAGCCTGGTTCCTGGGGATCCTGTCTAAGCAATTGCTCTTGGAAAGACAGGGGCACAGTATGATCAGTCCCTCTTGGAAAGACAGGGGCACAGTATGATCAGTCCCTCTTGGAAAGATAGGGGCACAGTATGATCAGTCCCACTGATGGACTTCTCAATAGAATACTGTTCAGCCTTATCTTAAGCCAGGTTCTCCAGAAGCAGAGAGTCAGATGAGGACTCTTATATAGATAATTTATTAAGGAAATTCTCTCAAGATAAATTAATCAGCAACCAGGAAAGCAGGATAGGCATGTGTGTGTGTGTGTGTGTGTGTGTGTGTGTGTGTGTGTGTGTGTGTGTGTGTGTGTGTGTGTGTGTGTGTGTGAGAGAGAGAGAGAGAGAGAGAGAGAGAGAGAGAGAGAGAGAGAGCCAGCCAAAGACATGGGCTGAATCCCAAGGCAAGTCTCCAGAGAAATGTGGAAAATTACTGGCCATTCAGTAGCCAGTTAATATACCATCTTTGTAAGGGAGACCAGCATTGAGGCAGTGCCATTTATACTGTATGGTTATATCCTTTAGGCTTGACTATTTATAAAGAAAGAGTTTAGAAAAACCTTAAATTAAAATAACTCATGAAAGCTGTGCTTAATCAAACAGAGAATAAAGTAGCCTGTTATCTAATTTATCAAAACTTTTGTTTTTTTATACTGAAACTGAAATTTTCAGCAAATCAACCCAATTCCCCCCCCCTTAAAAAAACAAAACAAAATAAAACAAAACAAACCTTAATTTGGCTAGGCCCTAAAAAGAGCACTTAACTAAATTCTGAGAAAATTAAGAACAAATTTTAAGAAAGTTATTTGAATGTATCAGTTAAGCTGAATTTTTTAGTTGCAAGACTCTAAATGAAAGATTTAAAGCCAAGAGAATTCTTGAGGTAAACATAATTAAGGTTCTTATCAAAAGTGCATATACAATTTTCCGATCGCCTTGACAGTTTATTAAAAAAGTTTCAGAGGTCTTCAGGGCCATGATTCACTTCTACCCTTATCATTACCTTTTCTTCAAAATTGGAATGGGATGATTTAATGTGACTTTCAAATGGTGCCAAAATATACACATTCAAATGCATTCTATGTTTCACCAAGATTAACATTTCAGAATATTTGATATAAAGGTTTCATTAAGACCTAAAATGTTTAATGAAAGGAAAAATTTCATAGGAATTTTAAACAGTTATTTGATTTTCTTGTTTTTGTTGTTGTTGTGGCTAAATTCCACCATCAGAGATCGTCAGCTGCAGAGAACTTAAGCAGGGTTTGCTATTTGCATCCTGGAATGTGCACACCACTCCTCAGTAGCTGTCTCTGCATGCAGAGAACATTCTCAGCTGGAGCAGAAATAGCTTCAGCCTGGAATCCTCTTCGTGGTTAGGGATTATTCATGGAGCTGTTTTAGAGGATTGGAGAAGCCCGGTAACCGTTTTAACCATTCAAAGCCATTCTCTGAAGTTCTTCCCTTATTTCCTGTCAGTGCTAGTTAAGATAAGAGGTTATGTGGTTTTTTTTTTTTTTTTTTTTTTATGATAAGGATGATGGGGACAACAATTTACTCGGAATTCAGAAACTTTATAAGTGCCTTTTGTGGACTTAATGCCTCCTTTTACACATGAAGAAACAGGCATTAGAAATTTAGTAATCCACAGGAGATCATGTGGCTAGAACACAGCAGTCTGACTTCACAGCCTAAACTTTTCACCATTTATTGTTACAAAACTGTGATACTTTTCAAAGACATTTCCCAAGAAAAAGTGAAAATTTAAAAATTGAGTTAAAATAGTCATAAAGGTGAAGCTAGATTTCAAGGTATCCCTCAMTTCCTCTTCCACTGCCGTAATTCATTTTCCATGGCAAAAAGGGCAATTCTTACAAATAATAAGTAGGACTCACAGCTCTTATGTCATAAATGTTCCAGGGGCTTCCTCTACCTTAGGACGAAGCACCAATGCCTCTGATGGAAAGAGAGCCCTCCCTAAGTCCTCAGCCTCACAGTTCCTTGACGATATGCTACCCACCAGGCAGCCTCAAGTCCAGTAGATGTTGGTATTTCAAAGGGATTTTGAGAGAAGTCTGGAGACCTTTGCAAAGTCAAAAGTTAATAAATCCTCCTGTACCAATCTTCCCATAAAATTCTCTATAGCACAACACATAAAATTAAACAGACATTGGAGTCTATAAGGACAAAAATACAGTGGGGGATGGATTCTATAATAAGAACATCATGAATTTTTCTGCTCTGTGGCAGGTCCAGAGAAGAATAATGCCAGAGAGATGCTGATAAGGCTGAGAGAAAAGGAGGAAGGATAGAAAGAAACATGTGGGGAGGCTCAGGCAGGTTTCTGAAGCAAGGCGGACATCTTCAGTGCTCTGCTGCGTTGCGCCCCGCACCCCCCCCCCACCAGGGGAAGCCACAGCAATGATGGGCACAACTGGGAAGCAGCAGCGGGGTCACCATGGGCCACCGAGTCAAGAGTAGAAAAAGAACCGCAGCCCTTCCAAAATGCACAGCACTGAACAGATTGGACACCACTAATAATTCACAGTTAGCATTTAATTTCCACATTCCTTCTAATAGCAATTTAGTTTAATGACCAGAAAGTGTATTTTTTTTTATAGGACAATATGTGACAAATTTATTTTCAGTATTTTAAATGCAAGCTTAGCCAGCATCATTTGGAAACTTGTACTTGTGAATCTTTAGAATTGTATATCTAACTATACTGAAATGCTACTTTTCATTTGGCTTTGAAAGAAAATCTCAAATTCTAGAACCTATAAAACTAACCCCAATTTGAACCACTAGTTCTGAAATTCCTGAAGTGTGCCTCTTTGTTCCTCATTGTAAAACGTTTTCAAGAAACAAACAAACAAACAAACAAAACAAACAAACAAAAAAAAACCCAAAGTAAATGTGGTACATTTTGAAGTTTCTTTTTTACGAGTGAGTTACTCCATCCAGTTGATGAATCATTCAGGCAATTGAGTTTCATATTCCCTTATTATTGTTCTGTATTACTTTCTTTAAAAATTTATGTTTTCCAAACTACCACATATTAGGAAACACAGAAAAGGGACCTACAAGTTCAGTAAGCAAAAGCACTAGCACATCTTTTCTTTTGCCCTACTTATTTTACTTTTTTCATGGATTTTGAGCAGCACTTAAGTCTTTTTTCAGATTTAGGGAGGGAAACATTCCTCCTATGGTGCAAGAACAGTTAGGAGCCAGGTTGATATTTTTCTCTTGTTTTGCTTATTCCCACATGATAAAACCACTTGACTTTTGGTCTCATTAATTTCAGTCTATTTCTTAATATCCCTAACAAAACTATCAATAGACTCTAAAACAAAAATAATTTTATCACAAAAATTTAGAGTAGAATTAGAAGAAGTTGATCTTAAAGATTATACTTTGCCTAAACTAACTACAGTATACAACTTAAATGTCTAATAATATGGCAATGCTATCATATTTTACAAAATGAAAATATGAGAAATATGTGATTATGCTAAAATATGTAGCATTTTAGTAATCAGAATAATCTAAAGAGCTGAAATGAGAAGCTAACTTGATTTTGTTAAAATCAAAACATATTTACTAGAAATAATTAATTTGTTAGCTTAAATTTAATTTAAATTCATCAAGTAGTTTTCTACCTAGGAAGAAAAACAAATCAAGAAGCCCTAATAATTCTTTGTTTTTTTAGTTATTCTTTGAATTATACAAAATCCAACTTAAAACAGTTACTTACCTTAGAAATTTTGACAAACACACGAGAATTAGTGATAGCTGGTCTGAGCTCTACTGGAGTGAGAGTGTTTCAAACTTTTCCATTACTTACAGGACGAGAAGGAAGGAGTTGGGCTTCACCAACTCTAGCCAGGGAGAAAAGGCGCTCACGTGTTTGGCTTTGGCTCGTGTTTCAGCCGCTGGTACTAGCAACAGGCCCTTCTAATTTTACTCAGTGACATAAACAGCTCAGGCCACACTTGAAATTGTTCGGGAACCACTTCCAGCATGCAATTCTCAGTGTGCCCAAAACAAAACAAAACAAGCCCAAACTGTTCTTACAAAACCAACATTCCTACATTTAAATCCTGAATTATGACTGTTTCATTTAATTATAACTTTCTAAAATAAACTTTACCTTAAATGAATAACGAGAAACTTCTGAGACTAGTTTCTGGCAGAATCTAGTTAACATACAGTGTTTAGAACTTGGGACTTTATTAATATTATATGTGTACTAATCTCATCCAAAGAAATTGCAAATTATCAAAAATAGTCACTCTTTAAAAATCACTTCCCTTGCTGAGTGCAGTAGTATAGGCCTGTGATTCTGGTGATGAGGGAAGCTGAGGCAGGAAGACTGCAAGTTTGAAGTCAGCCATAAAACTCAGTCAGCCCTGTCTCAAATTAAAACAAAACAAAATAAAAAAAGTGCTGGGGATTTAGCTCAGTAGTAGAGTTTCCCTGAGTTCAATCTCCAGTAACACACACACACACACCAAAAAAAAAAAAAGAAAGAAWGAAAGAAGGAAAGAAAAATAAATCACTCCCTTTTGCCTCTTTTTAAGTGAAAAAAGTAGATATTTGAGCAGAAAAACCTAAATAATGATTAACATAATAAAGAAAAGGTAAATGAAATCTGTGTGTTAAAAGTGTGACACTTATTCTCCAGCCCACGAACATTTATATTACATTTAACAAAGTATGTGAATGTAATTATGTGATCTTAAATTGTCTTTAAGATCAGTTAAATCATCCATTTTTTATAAGGGGCAAATAAAATAAATATCAAACATTTGGATACTCTTAATTTTTTATTTTGCATTATTTTAATAGAGACTTGATTGCAGCATGAATTGAAACAATCTAAATTATGTATTTGAAATTTACCTTTTTAGAACTAAAACTTGAATATAAGCAGCAATGCAGTGATCATCCACATGCTTAATTTTCATTTTATTTTCTTCTTGGGGGGACTTTTTCTTTGGTTTATTCATACCCTAACTTCTCTTGAAATTTGATGCTTCTATCTCACCAACAGCTGCAGGCCTTAAATTAAAAGCTGGTACAGCTTTAATTAATTATATATTTATAAGGTGTTTAAAAAAATCTTTTATGAATTCTCAGCACATTATTATATCTTCCATATGGCAATTTGGTTAGATACAAAATTATAACATAACTGTAAATTCTTAACAACAAAAAATGATGTACTGAACAATGATGATATGAAATGTAATTTTATATCAGTATGTGTCTGAAAAGTAAAAGTTTGAACTCTATATTCTGATATTTGAATTCAAAATCCTAACTTTATATGCTGATTGAAATGTCACTTATTTAAAGGTAACATATCAAGGGACCTTGTCATCAATCAGTGAATCGAGTTTGTAACAATGAACTTTTCAATATTTGGGGGACTGCATTATAAAAACAGTCAAGATTTCTGTGTGATTTAGATTCACTAAATACTATCAACATTTTTACTTTTAGTATTGCAGGAGAATGATTTAAATCAGTTTAATTTTATAGGTATGTTAGTCAGCTCTTTCTCTCTATGGCAAACTACCTGAGAAAAACAACTTAGAAAAGGAAAGGTTGATTTTGGCTCACAGTTTCAAGTCTATGGTCTGCTGGTTCCATTGCTTTGGGCCAGAGGTGAAGTAGCACCATGGCAATAAGGGCATCACAAGCAGCCAGGAAACACACCTCTTTTTCTCTCTCTCTCTYACACACACACACACACACACACACACACACACACACACACAAACACACACACACACACACACACACACATGCACACACACAGAGGGAGATCTCACATTCTAAGTTTCCATCACCTCCCAATAATGCCATCAAATTCTGAATCCACCAATCCTCCAGTGGGTCAACATTGATGAGGTTAAAGCCTTCACGATCCAATCGCCGTCTCAAAAGCCCCACCTCTGAAAACAGCTGTATTAGGGAACAAGTGTTACACATATGAGCCTTTTCAGGGAAGGTTCTAGATTCAAACTATAAACAGGTTAGTTTAAATGATTACATCAAGTCCCACCAGCATGTTTAAGTTTATCTTCCCCCCACATCCTGGCCAACACTTATTGTTGTTTTTCTTCATAATAGCTGTCATTCTGACTGGAGTGAGATGAAATCTTACAGTCGATTTGATTTGCATTTCTCTAATTGCTAGTGATGATGAACATTTTTTCATATATGTATTGATTCATTGTATATCATCGTCTGAGAATTGTCTGTTTAGGTCCTTGGCCCATTTATTGATTGGGTTATTTGTTTTTTTTGTGTGTGTGTTTAGCTTTTTGAGTTCTTTATATACCCTAGAGATTAGTGCTCTATCTGATGTGTGAGGGGTAAAAATTTGTTCCCAGGATGTAGGTTCTCTATTCATCTCACAGATTGTTTCTTTTGCTGAGAAGAAACTTTTTAGTTTGAATCCATCCCATTTATTGATTCTTGGTTTTAATTCTTGTACTATACGGGTCTTATTAAGGAAGTTGATCACATGATGGAGATTAGGGCCTACTTTTTCTTCTATTAGATGAAGGGTCTCTGGTTTTATTCCTAGGTCCTTGATCCACTTTGAGTTGAGTTTTGTGCATGGTGAGAGATAGGGGTTTAATTTCATTTTATTATTTTATTGCATATGGATTTCCAGTTTTCCAAGCATCATTTGGTGAAGAGACTATCTTTTGTTCAGTGCATGTTTTTGGCAACTAATATAAGATAATTGTAATCTTGTAGGTTAGTCTCTGTGTCCTCTATTCTGTACCATTTCCATATTGGCTGCAAATTAATGCAGCCAATATGGAAAGCAGTATTGAGATTCCTTGGAATATTGGGAATGGAACCACCATTTGACCCAGCTATCCCTCTCCTCAGTCTATACCCATACTACAGGGACACAGCCACATCAAAGTTTATAGCAGCACAATTCACAATAGCTAAACTGTGGAACCAAACTAGATGCCCTTCAGTAGATGAGTGGATAAAAAAAATGACATATATACATAATGGAATATTACTCAGCAATTAAAGAGAATAAAATCATGGCATTTGCAAGTAAATGGATGGAGTTAGAGAAGATAATGCTAAATGAAGCTAGCCAATCCCCAAAAACCAAATGCTGAATGTTTTCTCTAATATAAGGAGACTGATTTATAGTGGAGTAGGGAGGGGGAGCATGGGAGGAATATATGAACTCTAGATAGGGCAGAGTGGTTGGAGGGGAAAAGATGAGATATGGGGTTATTAATGATGGTGGAATGTGATGGACATCATTATCCAATGTACATGTATGAAGACACGAATTGGTGTGAATATATTTTGTATACAACCAGAGATATAAAAAAATTATGCTCTATATGTGTAATATGAATTGTAATGCATTCTGCTGTTATATATAAATAAAAATTATGAAAAAAATGGAAAAAAGCGATTACAAGATTTTCAAAGTTTTAATGCATGTCTAGCTTACATTTGAAACTCATATACACATATTAGATATGTATTCAATGAAATCATAACATTTTAAGCTGTGAGAGATGTTAATGAAAACCTAGTCTAACACTCACCTAGGTACAAGTAAGTATTCTGTGTTACAAAGGTAATAAAGCATGGTCAAAGTGGCTTTAGTACCTCTTGGGTATTTTGTGTTCCACCTCTGCTGACTTCCAAGCACAGCCAGAGTACCTCTGAGGTACATTCTAGAGTTCACCTCATTCTCCCTCTGCTCTGATTCCTGATATTACACTACAGTCCTTGGTGAGCTCTGTCCCCTTCTGGCTCCTCTCCTTGTCCTCCATGGAGAAAGTGTGACAGTAGGGAATGAGATAGTTCAAATCTTGAAAAAACCATAGAAGTTTAAAGTACTTGCTGTGAAGGCCAGGTTTTAAATTCACTAGTGAAAATTATCAGATMAGCTAAAGTTGAATACAGATGCTTCTTTACCTAGGATGGGTTGCATCCCAATAAACTCATGGAACGTTGAAAATATGGCAGATTGAAAATATGGTAGGTCGAACCTGCCCACCATCCTATTTTTAGCAACAGAGGGCACTGCAGTGTGGTTGCTTTTCCTTGTGACCACAGGGCTGACTGGGAGCTGTGGTCACTGCTGCTGACCATGACAGCGAGGGGGAATCAGATTCCCTAGAATTGAAATTCCATGCAGTTTCTAATGAAGGCAAGGCACTTTTGCACTATTATATATATAAAAAAAATTCTAACTTGAACCATTTGTTGGGTGAGATATCATAATTGAACCATCAAGTTGAGAATTCTCTGTACATGGGAGCCATGATTTAATAGTTTTAATAATATTATATAGGTTGTATGTCCCTAATCTAAAATCCAACATGCTTCAAAGTGCTCTTTGAGCACTGGATTGTCAGAGTAAGGATGCTCAATCAGTAAAGTCTATGCAAACGTTCCCAAATCTGAAGAAACTCTAAAATCTGAAACACTTTCCATCGAAAGCATTTGGGTAGGTAAGGGATGCTCAAAATGTATGATAATTGTAGCAATAAGTTCTTGTAATGAACTCCCCTCAAACTATGTGAGATGTTCCTACAAAACAAAATTCCTGGTCTCCCCAAACTTGCTCTTCTGTCCATCTTTTCCTTCTTGGCCCCCCACAATGTCAGGGAAGATAGACTTGGGAGTCTCCCTCATTCCTCAGGCAGCCAGTCACTAAATCCTGGGAATTCCCTTCCCATAACTTCTGCTCTGCCTGCTCTTTCTACCGTGTTCCTGCCTGGCTGTAGGGACACATCTTCTCTGGTTTGTTTGTTGTGCCAGCCACGTGCCCGCCCCCTTGTCTTCCTCCGCGTTCCATCCTACAGTCCTGGGGACTGCCAGAAAAACCT